GCAGAGAGAGAGAGAGAGGGAAGCAGGATCTCTGCCGAGCAGAGAACCCGATGCGGGACTCGATCCCAGGACCCTGAGATCCTGACCTGAGCCGAAGGCAGCGGCTTAACCCACTGAGCCACCCAGGCGCCCACGGGACGTGATTTTAAATGCAGAAGCTCACTGCACGGACAGAAAACTTTGCCCCGCGGTGCGCAGACACAAAAGTGTGCAACGACGGTCACACACAGATCGCCACACCTGAGCATTCAGTAACAGTCACGCACGCGCGGAGCTTCCCGGTTTCCTCACACTCCGGTACCCAGGGGCTCAACTCCGGTGGCACACACCTCTCCACTTACACACCCTCGGCCGCGGCAGCCTGCGCAGGCGCGGAGTAGAGGCGGGCCTTTGGGTCCTCTGGGAAATGTAGTTCAGCAAAGAAGGCCGCGGCGCAAAGCGTTCTGGGACTCGTGGTTCGCGGGGGTCGTAAGGAAAAGCTGAGTCGCGTACAGTTCAGCTGGATGTTTCCCCAGCCGAGCTCGGGGTCCCGCGCGCCTCAGTCCCTGCTCACCTTCACCCCGCGGGGGATTCTGGGAGGGGACGTCGCGGGTCCCGAGTCGCTGGGCGGGTTTCCAGAGCCCGCCACTCTGGGAGGTGAGTTGGGCCTGGCTGCGCGCGGGAGCCGGAGGTCAGGGCTGGGCTTGGGGTAGAACGGCAACTACAGGGATTGGACCAGGGCGGGTGCCTCTGGGGTTACTGTCTAACTAGCTATGTGAGAGGCCACTGTGTGACAGAATGTGATCTCGTCTGTCACCGCATGTGTGCTTATGTGCGACTCTATGTTTCAGATATAAAACGGTGTGTGCGTGTCTGTTTCTGCAGGTATAACTATGTGTTACTGAATATGGGTTTGTGAGAGACTGCGGGCGTGACACTGTGTCGCCGATGAATTTGTGAGATTATGTTTGACTACTTGTCTCTGTGGATATAACAGTGTTTGAATGTGTATGACAGCAGGTGTCATTGTGTACCTGTGTCCATCTTCTCTCTGCAGGTATAGATTTGTATGAGTAATGATGACAGGTTGAGTGACCTAGTATGGTATGTCACTGTGTGCGAGATTGCATGGGACTGTCTCTTTGTTGGGGTAATTGTGTCATCTGTCTTTGCGTTAATGCCACTGCATAGGTGTTTGACATTACAAGTGAGCTTGCGTGACCATGGATAGTGTATGTGTGTGACTGGGTGAGAAATTCTATATGTAGGTGAGACAGAAAGCTTTATTGTGTGGGACCTAGTGTGTGATAGTGGGCGCAGAAATATTAAAATTACTTGCCCAAGTTCAGACAGTTTTTTAGTGACAGAACGGGGTCTTGAACCTAGGCATTTTGGCTCCAGAGTCCTTGCTTTTAATCACTAAACTCTCTTGATCTTTCCCATATTGTGAGAATGAAAAATTTTGGTCCCTGGGTTCTAAGAGTTTTAGAGAGGATTGTCCCTGACCTTGGACTAGGAACCTCTTGGATATGGGTTTCTTCCTTCATTCCCCTTGTGAGTCACAGGACCTAGTCTAAAGACATTGTAGTGAGACCATCCCCAAACTGACTGCCTCTGGGGGAGGAAAGCTTAATCTGAAAGCCTAGTTTTTCTCTCCTTAGGCCATGGAGTTTGAGATTTTAGGTTTGTCTTTGTCAAAATTCTTCCATGTTTGGTGCTCAGAGAGGCTGATCCATGGCTCTTTTCCTTATGTACCAAGTGAGCTAAATTTTAGTTCTGATTTTCTCAGTGAATAAGAAAAATGTTCTCATTTCCTTTGCAAATGTGTGTATAGAATGTAGGCAGGGACAAGGGTAGCACTTCTTTATGCCAGAAATTGGCGCATGCTTTCTTGACAGGAAAGAAATGTTCTGAGAGATGGAGTAACGTGCTCAAGGTCATGTAGCCAATGAATGAAGTATTGGAGAGTCAGCATGTGCCTGGGGGTTATATAAAACCCAAGTCTTTAAATTCAGCTTCAGAGACTGGTGTTCATCTCAAAGTTGGAGAACATTATCCAAGCGGTACACAGCTACTTGCAAACAGAAATTTTAAAAAGACATTTCTTTTATGCATCTGCTAGATAGGGCTCCCAGATGCAGAGAATACTTCATTGATTCCTCTCAGATTGCAAAGGCTTTTATGGACAATTTGAAGCTGCATTGCGCTAATGAAATAAATTTCTTAAACAGTGAGTTGGCTAGTGCAGAGTAGTAGCCCGGAATTAGGGGGTTGTGTATCCTAAATTCTAGGTCAAACACAACTATGCTCATTTTCAGAATGAAGAAATGTTGGCTCTGAGGGGACTGTGCACTTTGTTACTGGTTTGTACTAAAAATGAGCAATGCCAGGTGGTGGGTATTAGAGAGGGCACGGATTGCATGGAGCACTGGGTGTGGTGCAAAAACAATGAATACTGTTATGCTGAAAATAAATAAATAAAAAATGAGCAATGCCTGCCTCAAGCTTTATTCTTGTGAAGTAATAAAGGTAATATCTGCCCGCTCTGAAGAGGCTTCTCTAGTAGATGTATAGCCATGATTCCCCAGGTTATGTTAAATATTTTGTTCAGACATTGTAGGCTCTTGAAGGAGGACCAGCTTTTGAATCTCATTGCAGTTTTACCCTTAGGACTGAGTTAGTTGTTTAAGCTTTTTGAACCTCAATTTTACTTGTTGGTAAGATGGAGTTAATAATACTTATCTTTGCAGTTTTGTGAAGATTAAGATAACAACATACACGTGTAACATTGCTATTTATATTACAGGAGGCACAGCAAGATTTATTTACTCATTTAGCAGATATTTTTTGAGCTCCTACAAAGGTATTATAAAATAATATATAAATATATGTTTATATATATGTAATATAAAAATAACAGATTTTTTTGAACACCTGGCATTGTTCTAAAACCAGAGATACATCAGTGAACAAAATGAATCATAATTCTGTTAGATCCTACACTATTGTTTGGGGAGACAACAATAAAGAGAAAAAAGTAAGTCCAACGGTGTCAGATGCTAAGAAGAAAATGTATCAGGATAAGGGAAAAGAGAAGGGAGGTTCTCTTTAGATAGAATTTTCAGGAAGGTTCCTCTGATATGGTGACAATTGAGCACAAATAGGAATGTGAAGAGAGGGAGTGAGCCGTGTCCAGGAAGAAGGAAAAGCAAAGGCAACAGCCTTGAAGAAGGAGTGTGCACAGTGTTCGAAGAACTGTAAGGAAACCTGTGTACCTGGAGTGGGATGAGCCAAGGGGGATGAGGGTAGGAAGTGAAGTCTAAGGGGCAGCCAGGGGTCAGATCATAAACCGCCATTGTTGGCCATTTAGATTTTGTTGAGTTGAGGCTACATGTTCTTAATATCAGAAATTTAGGGCTTAAATTCAGCTCTGGTTTTTTTCTGAGATCTTGGAAGGAGGCTGTGGAGACCTTAAAGGGACAAGAGTTCTATCTTTGTGAATCTCAGGTCAGCAGCATGGGGCTGGTCTGCCATTTTTTTTCCCCTTTAATTCTCTCTTCTCAGGACTTTGTTCTCCCAAAGGGAAGACTGAAGAAGGAAAGGAGGATGGCTGTTGGGCTTTGTAAAGCCATGTCCCAGGTAAGTTGATGTTTTCACTTTGTTTGCAGAAATTCCACCTCATTTTTTTGGGATTTTGGGACCTCAGAGAGTCAGAAATAGCCCTGTGAGCACTCTCATCTCTTCTGTCTCTTAACTACTTATGATCTCTCTACAAATCATTTACTATCTTTTTCACTCAGTGCTGTGCTGAAATATGTGATGGAAAACAACTATCCTCTTTAGATGGATCATGATTTGTTGTGCTGCCATTCAGTACAAATGAAATAAAGGACAGAGGTGTGATTATTGAGTGTCCTATTAAATAAGAAGGTCCAGGAAGGCCTCTCTGAGGAAGTGACATTTAAGCAAAGAAAACCCTCAGTGAAAGTAGGGGGGAGGTTTTGTGAAGACCTGAAATGAGCTTTAGAAGGAGAAGGAAGGGGGCACCTGGGTGACTGAGTCGTTAAGCATCTCCCTTCGGCTCAGGTCATGATCTCAGGGTCCTGGGATCGAGCCCCACATTAGGCTCTCTGCTCAGTGGGGAGCCTGCTTCCCCCCAACTCCCCCGCCTGCTGCTCTGTCTACTTGTGATCTCTCTGTCAAATAAATAAATAAAATATATTTTTTTAAAAAAAGGAGAAGGAAGGGGCGCCTGGGTGGCGCAGGCTGTAAAGTGTCTGCCTTCGGCTCAGGTCACGATCCCGGGGTCCTGCTCAGCAGGGAGCCTGCTTCTCCCTCTCCCTCTGCCTTTCCCCCTACTTGTGTTCTCTCCCTCAAATAGATAAACAAATAAAATCTTTTAATTAATTAATTAATTAATTTGACAGAAAGAGACAGCAAGAGAGGGAACCCAAGCAGGGAGAGTGGGAAAGGAAGAAACAGCTTTCCCTTTGAGCTGGGAGCCTGATGCAGGGTTTGATCCCAGGACCCTGGGATCATGATCTGAGCCAAAGGCAGATGCTTAACCGACTGAGCCACCCAGGTGCCCCAAATAAATAAAATCTTTTTTTTTTTTTTTTTTTAAAAAGGGAGAAGAAATAGCAAATATGAAGTTACTGTGGTGGGAAGATATCTGATGTATTCTAGGAATATCATTGAGCCAGTTTCCTCAGAGGGGAATGAGCACTGTGAGAGCAGAGGAGTAGCTGGGGAACAAGTTATGTGGACCCTTGAAACTCATGACCAGAGCTTCGAGTTTTGTTCTGAGGGTGAAGGAGAGTCATTGGAGTGTTTGTGATTTAATTTGATTTCTATTTTAAAAGGAAAATAGAAAGGAAGTAAGGGTGGAGCCGGGAGATCAGTCAGGAGACTACTGCAGTAATCCACCTGGAAGGTGATAGCTACCTGGGCCATGGTGGTGGCATTGGAGCTGGTGGGGTTTGGGGTATATGTTGGAGATAGAAAATATGGGATTTGGCCAGGGACTGGTTTGAGAGTGTGAAAGAAAGTCAAGGATAACTACAAAAATTTTTGACCTGGGGCAGCTGTACAAATGACCTTACCATTTTACTGAGGTGGAAAGACAGGGCAGAATGATGAGATGGGAACAAAAATTGAGTCCTTGATCTAGTAAGTTTGGGAGACCTGTTGGATATCCAAGTGCAATAGTGATTATATACCTGGAGTCAGGATTGGAGATGTGAATTTGAGAATCATTAGTGTATTTAAAGCCATAGGACAGGATAAGATTATCTTGAGGGTAGGATTGTGGGTATAGATAGGAAAGATGCCCAAGGACTGAGTTTTGAGTATTCAGTATCTAGAGGCTGAAAAGAAGAGAAGGAACCAGCAAAAGAAACTGAGAAGGACTGATGTAAGAGGAAAACCAGAAGAGTATGGGTCCTGGTGGGCAGGAGTACAGTGTGTTTCATAGAGGGTATGATCAACTAAATTAAATTCTTCTGAGAGAGGGGGCGCCTGGGTGGCTCAGTGGGTTAAGCTGCTGCCTTCGGCTCAGGTCATGATCTCAGGGTCCTGGGATCGAGTCCCGCATCGGGCTCTCTGCTCAGCAGGGAGCCTGCTTCCCTCCCTCTCTCTCTGCCTGCCTCTCTGTCTACTTGTGATCTCTTTCTGTCAAATAAAATCTTAAAAAAAAAAAAATTCTTCTGAGAGACAGTGAGGAAGATGAACTGATCATTGGGTTTGGTAACATGGAAGCTACTGATATTCTTGACAAAAGCTACTTGATAGAGTAGTTGGGATGAAAGCATTGCAGTGGGGTCACAAGGGAATAGTGGGCCTAAAAGGTAAGAATAGAGATGAGTCGAGACCTGTGCTGTCCAATAATGTACCCAGTAGCCACATAAGACTGCTCTGAATTAAGATGTACTATAAGTATAAAATATATACCAGATTTTGAAGATTCAGTACAAAAAAATGTAAAACATCTCATTAATAATTTTTACATTGAGTACATGTTGAAATAACATTTTAGATATAATGGGTTAAATATATTATTAAATTTGCTTCTTTTTTTATTTTTAAAGATTTTATTTATTTAGAGAGAGAGAGAGCAAGAACACAAGAGCAGGGAGAGGGAGAAGCAGACTCCCGGCAGAGCAGGGAGCTTGACTTGTGGCCGATCCCAGAACACTGTGATCATGACCTGAGCGGAAGGCCAAGACTTAACTGACTGAGCCACCCAGGCACCCCTAAATTTACTTATTTCTGCTTACCTTCTTTTTTCTTTTTGCAATATAAATTAGTGATTCAGCATGACATTTGGTCTTAAACCTCTGTAAAATGGGGTTCATAATTTTTTCTTATTTTTTTTAACAAGTTTTACAATGAGATTTAAGATAATATCAGTAAAATGCTCATTAGCATGTCTTATACCACTTACTGGTATGTAGTAATTGGTCAATAAATATAGCAGTTATTCTTATTTGTTTCCATCATTAAATATATTTACTTTTTTAATGTAGCTACTGAAAAATTTTAATATGAGGTTTACTTTGTTTTTTTAATTTAAACAACTCTTTGGAAGAATTTTGTTTTTAAGAGTAGAGAAATTGGACAAAAACTACAGTGAATTATGGAAGGGAATTTATCTGTCCATAAGATGAAAGATACTGTATCAGTTTGTATACTGATAAAAATCATTTAGGAAAGTGGAAAATACTGATAATATAAGAGGGATATCTGTTATCTCCCTGATACAAGGAAGAGAGGTGACAGTGTCTTTGTGTGGACAAGTGGAGGGAATGGTCATAGACAGGAGCCTAGAGTTTCATGCATAGTAACAGAGGGAAGACAGAATATATGAGTATAGATACAGTTTAGCAAGGACCTGTGGTAAGCAAGAAGATGAGGAAGTTCAGAGTGAAAACAGGGAAGGAATTGGTGGTATTTTGAGAGAGAGGCAGAATCTATATAATAGTCATAGGAAAACGGGAAAGTGAATTTATTGGGGAAGTGTAGTGGTGCTTTCATGGGCTCTCTGGTCATATCCTAGAAGTACATTGGATCATTGTGTTTATCAGTCAGGGCTCCAGCAAGAAACTCAAAAGGGAAGTGTTTCCAAGTTAGGAATCAGTGTATAGAGAACTGTAAAGGATAGTGCTATACCCTCGGACTCCTAACAGTAAAACTTGGACCTGAACCCAGAGATAGAGAGATCTGAGTGGGGAGGGCCTTTGACAGGCATTGTGACCTAGGATCAAAGGACAGAGACCACACAGGGTGGTGCTGTAAGGAGGGTACCAGGGGATTAAATATTGTGCCTCACTTGCCTCCTTCCCGTCTCTTGCATGTGGCTGAACCCAACTGAAAATGGGGTCAGGTTGGGGAGTCTCTTAGTGCAATCAATACGGGTCAGCCTCCCACGACACAGAGAAGTGTAGAGGGACACACGAAAGTTATATAACAGTATATAGTTGTATGAGGCTTTTTTCTCTAGCCACATTCATCTGTATTTCTGCTATGTAGAATAACCATATTTGTCTTTTTTTTTTTTTGCAATTTGATGAACAGCAGTATACTTTTAATTTGAAAGCACAAGCAAAAAAGATAATTTTCTAGGTAAATATAAAATACAAAAACTAGCTCAAAAAGTAGAAAACTAAATAGACCAATGCTGAAAAAAGAGTTAACACAGCAGATGCTGTGTTTAGAAGAACCCACTTCCTGGTTGGCTTTTGACTGGCATCGGAGATCTTGGCACTAGATCCATTCTCTGCACTGATAGATACTTCATGATTTTTAATAAAAAATGAGACCATACTCTGCAAAATGGAACTCTGCCATTTTAAGCTTTGAGTACTCTTCCTTCCTATGGATGTATTACAGGAAAGTTTACCATTTATTCACTGAGTGGCAAGTATTTACTGTTTACAATGTGATAGGTTTTATAAACACCAAATATTCAAGAGCTTGTAAAACAGAGATCCTTCTCCTCGTACAGCTCATAGTCCAATGGTGTAGGCTAACCTGTTTATTTTATTTATTGATTTATTTTTTAAAAAGATTTTTTGTGTTTATTTGACAGAGAGAGAGTGAGAGGAAGAGAGCACACAAGCAGGACTGGCAGAGTGGGAGGGAGAAGTAGGTTCCTGAGCAGGGCTTGATCCCAGGACCCTGGGATCCCAGGACCCTGAAGGCAGATGGCTAACTGACTGAGGCACCCAGGTGCCCCTTTATTTTGTTTTTAAAAATATTTTATTTTATTTATTTTAGAGAGAGAGAGCACATGAGCAGGGAGAGGGAGAGTGGCAGACTCCCCACTGAGTGTGGAGCCCTATGTGGGGCTCCATCCCATGACCCTGAGATCATGACCTGAGCTGAAATCAAGAGTCAGATGTTTAACCCACTGAGCCCCTCAGGTGCCCCTAAACTTATTTTTTGACATTAAAGTTTTTTTCCAGATTTTTCATATAACCTTCCAATGAAAATTCTATCTAAATTACTTCACATAGGGGGCGCCTGTGTGGCTCAGTGGGTTGAGTCCTCTGCCTTTAGTTCAGGTCATGGCCCCGGGGTCCTGGGATCAAGCCCCTGGGCTCTCTGCTCGGCGGGGAGCCTGCTACTCCCTCTCTCTCTCTCTGCCTGCCTGTCTGACTACTTGTGATCTCTGTCAAGTAAATAAGTGAAATCTTTAGAAAAAATAAAATAAAATAAATAAAGTACTTCGTATACTTCATTATTTCTTCAGAACACATTTTTACAAGTTTCTCCTCATATATCAAACCTAAGTTTCAGACCATACCCTATTGTTAAACCCCAATTCAAGGTCTTCCCTCACTACTCTGACCCATTCAGTATCTCAGTTTGAGGAGTATAAAGGAATCATCACTATCAGAATTTCTTGATACATAGTATATGTAATATAAAATAGCTTTGCTGACATACTTTCATGTTATAAACTCATGTTTCATGTTGTAAGGTAATTTTTTTCCTGTGTGTACATCTCTTTTTATTCATAAGTGTGAAATTTTCAAGGGGCGAGTCTGTTTCTAATATTTCTCTTTCAAATTTTTTGACAAACCTGGGCATGTACTTGCTCCCCAGTAATTATTTTCCTCAGGCCACCTAGAGCTTTGAATTCTGGCAAAATTTCATCTTTTCTGCTAGGACCATATGGGAGTACTTGGCGACAAGATCTTTTTTTTTTTTTTTTTTTAAATTCAGGGTCTGGTGACCTTCAGAGATGTGGCTCTAGATTTTTCCCAAGAGGAATGGGAATGGCTGGACCCGTCTCAGAAGGATTTGTACCGAGATGTCATGTTGGAGAACTACAGGAACTTGGTATGGCTTGGTAAGGATGTCTCCCCCATAATTCAGAATCTTCCCTCTGGGGTGTTTTTGCTTCCTCCACTGGGAATATCTAGGTCATCTTAAGTGCTTAGCTGAATTTCTACTTCCTGTTCCCAGGGAATAATTTGAAGTAGTTTCAAAGAATTAGAAATGAGTAGTCCCCATTGCTGTAGAATGAGGTAGGAATTTGTTAAATTGCAAATTATGAGGTCCCACCCTAGACCTCCAGAATCAGAAACTCAGGAAATAGGCCCAGTAGTCTGGGTTTTAACGAGCCCTCCAAATGATTCTGATGCCCATAAAAGTTCGAGAACCACTGTGGTTTCTGACTTAGTAGGTCTGGGCTAGGGCCCAAGACTTTGCATTTCTAGTAAGTTCCTAGGTGGTGGTGCTTTAGCACTTTGAGAACCACTACTGCAGAAGAAGCTTCATCTTCATCCTTCATACAAGCATCATTCCATTCTCTGGCCCTTCCTCTAATTTCTTTTCTTGCCTAATGAACAAAAGACTGAGATTGAGTCCTGGAAAGGCGATAGCAAGTTGATTGTCTGCCTGTTTGTCTCTTTCTTGCTCTCATTTTTCTTCTCCTGTAAACAGGACTCTCCATTTCTAAGCCCAACATGATCTCCCTATTGGAGCAAGGGAAGGAACCTTGGATGGTGGAGAAAGAAATGTC